GAGATTGAAAAACATTGTAAAGAAAAAAAAGAAAAACAATCATGAAAAAGTGTGATGAAAAATTACAAAATTACAAAATTAAAATGGTGAAGATAGATGAAATGAAACAAAAAAAAATGGAAGAATTAGTAAAAGGTTCGATGGATCAAAACAAAAAAGAAGTAAAAGAAAGCATAGTGGAGAGAATTTATTTTTTTATTTTGTTTTGCCAAAAGAGTAGAGAGATTATTGAAGAGAGGGCATACTGGTGAAATACCCCATGAACTTGTACCTCGCTTTCAATTAGCCGCTATCCTTTTTTTTTAGAAAATTAAGGAACCGATCTATTTTTTTTTCGCCAATGTGCCCCTTGACGTCAGAATTTGGCACTTTCCATCCATTCTGCTGTGAAGATGGAGGGCACTTTAGTCCTTTCGCGTGTCCACACAAGTCAACCCAGTGTAAATCCAAAAGTCGAAGGAGGCTAGAGGCCCAATTTGGGATTGCTGTCACTTTTTAAAAAAGTTGCTTCTGCTGTGCTTTGAAAATAATTAGCTATAAAGTAAATCAGTGCCATGTTTGGTAAACAATATTTTTAAAGTGCTGTTAGTACAAAAAGCAGTATCAAAATCGTTTGGTAAATTTTAATATATAACTGTGAATAATGACTAAAATAGACATGATGTTGAAAGTGTTATGTGCTAATCATGTGGTGTGCTAATCATGTGGTGGTAGTGGTGGTGGTGAAAGAGGTGGTGATGAAGGTGGTGGTGGTGATGAAGGTGGAGTTGGTGGTTGTGGTAGTGGTGATGGTGGGGATGGTAGTTGTGGAGGTGGAGGTGGTGGTGGTGGTGGCAGCGTGGTGGTGGTGTTGGTTGTGGAGGTGGTGGACGAGGTGGGGGTGGTGGAAGAGGTGGTGGTTATGGTGGTGGTGGCGGAGGATGAGGATGTGGTGGTGGTGGTGGTGGCGGTGGTTGTGGTTGTGGTTGTGGAGCTGGTGAATGTGGTGGTGGAGGTGGTGGAGTTGGATGTGGAAGTGGAGGTGGTGTCATTTTTTAAAATGAATAATGGTATTTTGGGAATTAAAAAAATTCATTAAAGGCTCATATCTGCTTCTTTTGAAAGTAGCTTTGAAAAGCAACTCAGAGCCTGCTTTTAAAAGCTGCTGTCAAAAGGCCACTGCTTTTAAAATAATCAGGATATTTTATTTTTACCAAACACCTTAAACTGCTTAATTTTAAAGTGAAGCAAATTTTTGGCCAAAAAAAGCAATCCCAAACGGGGCCTAGGTCACTTTCAGGAAAAAAAAAGAAAAAGAAAAAAAAGGAGCAAACAAACTGAGATTAGAGCGTTCGAAAGTTTGGGGGAATTGGGGATTTCATGAAATCGACCTACATAGTGGCTGACGTTGACAAATCGGTGAGGTTGTCATACGATTCTTGAAGCAACACACCTGTATTGACCAAGAAAGATGCATGTCATTACCACATTTTACAGTTTGGGCGACGAAAGCAAAATCGTCGCGCAAAGAACAAAGCAATCGCCCAAATAACAGTGCGACAGCTGTAGCGTCGCGCAAAATTAGTCGCGCAAAGATCGTAAAGAAAGGCTTTGCGCGACAGATGTTATGTACATTCGTCGCACAGGAAACTTCGTTGCACCAAACGTTCAGGGACGGTCCTTCTTTCGTCGCGCAAACCATTGCGCGACGATTTTACTTCGTCGCACAAACCTTTCAGGGACGGCACTTATTTCGTCGCGCAAAATAGTTGCGTGACGAAACAGTAGTTGTCGCAGATACAAAATGCGACGATGTGAATTCGTCGCGCAAATAACAAGCGACGAAAGTACACTCGTCGAAGTACAGAGTAGTGGGCAGCCTCCCAAGTATAGTAAGTCTTCTTCAACTTTCCCTTTCTTTTCATTGTTTAAGTGGTTGTGGTCCATAAGTTGTCGGTAGAATTGGATTTTTCCATCTTCTTGCCTTGCTGTAAAATTCCTTCTTGAATAGAAAAGTGTGGTCCCAAAGTAAAGCATGTGCGTTGGTTTGTCTGTGTGTGGCTGATGTTAGTAAAGGCTGGTGCCGATTGGTACGTTTGTTGTAGTAAATTGAAGTTGTTGAGTTAATTATTTGTTGTTTGTAGGTGATCCAGAGTTATTTACAATTAAAATTCACCATGGGGGGTATTTTAAAAAGGGAAAGTATGTGGGAGGTACTGTCCAATGGGCGGACAACTGTAGTACAGATCAGTTGTCAATGCTGGACTTATATGATGTTACTGAATCACTAGGATACAACCACATAAAAGTCGATTATCGCTATAGGTCCACAACATTAGGTTATGTGGCAATTCGAGGAGACTTGGATGTGCTTGATTTTGTGCGTTAGATACCTGCATCAAGGGTTCACGGTTTGTACATCACAAAAAAGCCAGAACCACAGAGAGATACTGAAGTCTCTGCAGCTATATTTAACTTTTAAAATTTGCTTCAACCAGAATTGATACATGTAGATGTACAAGATGATGTAATCATTGCTGATGATGCCGATAATGAAGCTGAAGAGGAAGATGAGGAGCAACAGGTAGATGAGGAAGAAGCTGTAAATGTTGATGCAGAGGATGATGACGAAGAGCGCCTGCAGTTCATAGATAGTGACTATGAGCAAACAGATGAAGAACAAGAGAGACAAAAGGGAGCAGAAGATGACAGGTGGTTTGATACGCATGTAGTGGAGGAAGCTGCCGAAGAACCACAGAGAGAACCTGGTGAAGTTCCAAGTGACTACAATTTAGAGGATCTTCTAAGTGTTTCAGAAGAGGAAGATGAAGTTGATGAAAATCCAGGTGTGGAAAAGGTTAGTCGTAGACGAAAAGCTCCTAGGTTCAAGCAATTCAAAAGGGATACTGATTTATTTAATCCAGTATTTCATATTGGCATGGAGTTTGCTAACATGGAACCATGTAGGGAGGCCATAAGATTCTATGCAGTTTCAAGTGCTAGGCCACTGAGATGGGTGAATAATGACCCTCACAGGGTTAGGGTGGTGTGTGGAAGTGGAGGAAAGGCTGAAAAAAAAAAAGGGTTTAGGAAAAAGAAATGCAGAAAAAAAATAATAAAAAATGTGTACAAAGTGCTAAAGATGATGGTGGAAAAGAAAATGGAGAAAATGGTGGAGAAAAGGGTAAAGAAAAAGGTAAAGAAAAGAGGGGTGTCAAGTGTGATTGCCAGCTATATGCATCTTATGTGGGCAAAGGGCCTACTACTAAGATCAAGACATATCAACTAAAGCATTCATGTGGAAGGATGCAGAAGACCAAGTTTGCCACTTCTTCTTGGCTTGCTCAAAGGTTTGATGAGGATTTGAGAGATAATCCTAATATGTCTGTGACGGATTTCATGAAGATTGTGAAGAAGAATTATGGCATAGATATCACTACAAACCAGTTTTACAAAGCCAAGAGCATAGCTAAAGAGAGAATACATGGAAGTATTGAAGAACAGTATGCAAAATTGTGGGATTACTGTGAAGAGTTGAAGACAAACAATCCAGGCAGCACTGTATTAACCAAGACTGATTTGCGTGGGGACAACCCAGTATTTAAAAGAATATATATATATGTTTTGGAGCATTGAAGAAGGGCTTTATTGCAGGATGTAGGCCAGTTGTGGGTTTCGATGGTTGTCATGTGAAGGGAACTCATCCAGGACAGATTTTATCTGCAGTTGGTATTGATGCGAATAATGGGATGTACCCTATCGCATTTGCTGTGGTTGAAGTAGAAAATACCGAGACTTGGACATGGTTTATGGAGATTTTCTTCGCTGATGTTGGGTGTGAAAATGGTAATGGTTGGGTGTTCATGTTAGATAAGCAAAATGGTTTGGGGCAAGTCATTAGGGATTTGATGCCCACTGTTGAACACAGGCATTGTGTTAGGCACCTCCACAATAATTTCAAGATTGCTGGTCATAGTGGACTAGCATTAAAGCAAAGATTGTGGGCAGCGGCTAGATCAACTACAATACCCACATTTGAAGCTGAAATGGAGAAGATGTTATCTCAATCAGATGCAGCTCACAGATGGCTTCAGGAAAGGCCAGCAAATCATTGGAGTAGGTCACACTTCAGTACTCATTCTAAGTGTGATATGCTTCTTAACAACTTGTGTGAGTCTTTTAACTCAGCTATTATTGAAGCAAGGGATAAGCCTATTCTGACCTTACTAGAGAGAATTCGAAGTTATTTGATGCTAAGAATGGCTAGACTTAGAGAAACTGTTTGGACACATTATGTTGGTCCTAGGATTTTCGGAATTGTTGAGAAGCTAACAACTGAGAGTGCTCAATGCATAGCATCATATGCTAGTGGGGGGAAATATCAAGTTAATAACATCCACGGTGGAATGTATGTAGTGGATTTGGAGAGGCACACCTGCACTTGCAGAAAGTGGGACTTATGTGGAATCCCTTGTTCACATTCTGTGGCTGCAATTGCCAAAATAGAGAAGAGCCCTTATGACTTTCTACATTCACTTTACAAAAGAGGTGCATATGACAGGGCTTATGAGAGTTATATATCTCCAATGCCTAGTCAAGAATACTGGAGAAAAACTGGCCATAGACCCATCAAGCCACCTCTTTATCACAAACAATCGGGAACGCCTAGAACAAGTAGGCAAAAGGAACCTGATGAGATACCAAAAAATGCAACAAAGCTGAAGAGATATGGGATTGTCATTTGTTGTAAAACTTGTGGAGGTGAAGGTCACAATTCTGCAACTTGTGGAGCTGAAGGTCATAATGGAGAAAGAGGCAGAAGACAGGTATGAAGTTTGTGATTATTTCTGTTGATATGAACTTTGTTGAAGGTGCAAGTTGGTCCTTTATTTGTTATAATTTTATTTTTATTTTTTTGTTCAAGGAACAAGCTAGAGGCAGGGGAAGGGCAATAAGAGTTCGAGGCAGGGGAAGGGGAACAAGTATGCCAAGTGTTCCTGTCAAACAACCAAATCAAGCTGAGACTTCAATCCAAGATAGACCTTTTAGAAGAACAAAGCTTGGGGTAATAGCATATGTACTGATTTGCTTTCAATACTTACATTCAATGTTTAAACCAAATTTGGACTGATTTGCTGATTTTTGTCGTTCAATTAGGCGAGAAGAGGGGGGCAAATGTCTGAACTAACAAGGCAGCTTGCTCAAACTGGTGCTACCTTACAAGGAATTCAAATTGGGCATGCTTCTCAACCAAACTCAGAAAATGTACCTCTACCGAAAAGACCAAGGCCATGGAGAGTGTAGCTGAGATTTGCTGATTTTGGTTTTTGGAACACCAAAACATTAGGACTACTTATGTAATGGATATGTTTTGGAACATTTTATTTTGATGAATTTCTAGCTGATATGGTTCTAGGATTCTCATACTGATTTCAATGTATTAGTATTGGAACACAAATATTTTGGTTGGATTACAGTTAGAACACATGTGTTGCTTGGATTCATGTTGGAACAGATGTTTTGTAATGGATATGTTTTGGTTTAATAGTGTTGCAACACTTATGTTTGTTTGCTTGCTTATATGACCTTTTTGCCAATTAGAAACAAAATTGTCAAAACACAACTCATACATTGTCACATCTCGGATCGACTCCGCCGTAGCACGATATTGTCCGCTTTGGGCCCCCCCTCTTTGGCCCTCACGGTTTTGTTTCTGGGAGCTCACTACCAACTTCCCAGTGGGTCACCCATCCTGGAATTGCTCTGGCCCCCAACTCGCTTAACTTCAGAGTTCCTACGACTCCGAACCTAGTGAGCTCCCAAATGGCCTCGTGCTAGATGGATGCGAGCATGTACATATGAGGCACATCAACCCCCTCTCCATTGGTCGATGTGGAATCTTACAATCCACCCCCCTTAGGGGCCCGACGTCCTCGTCGGCACACTCGCACCACACGGCAGAGTGGCTCTGATACCAAATTGTCACATCCCGGATCGGCTCCGCCGTAGCACGATATTATCCGCTTTGGGCCCCCCCTCTCTGGCCCTCACGGTTTTTGTTTCTGGGAGCTCACTACCAACTTCCCAGTGGGTCACCCATTCTGGAATTGCTCTGGCCCCCAACTCGCTTAACTTCAGAGTTCCTACGACTCCGAACTCAGTGAGCTCCCAAAAGGCCTTGTGCTAGATGGATGCGAGCATGTACATATAAGGCACATCAACCCCCTCTCCATTGGTCGATGTGGGATCTTACATACATGCCATTACATTCAACAAAAAGACCAAAAGTCCATGTTTTACACCTCTGCAACACAACTGATACATGGCAGGTCACATTGTCTTTCCCTTTCCCTCTTCCCTTTATTTATAGGACAGATTACATACGCTTCTCTGGCAAATATCCTTCATTGTCTTTGTCTTTCCCATACATCAACCACAAAACTATCACAAACAACAAACAAGACACCCAAAACCAAGGGTTTTTTTTCAACTTCTTTGGCTGAGATTTTTTTGCATCTTCCATCATGTTTATTTTCCGTAGCAGCCCAAGTATAGTTTGCTTCGACCTCTCACACATTTGTGGGTCACCCCATTCCCAATATCTACATCTATTCTGTACATTTCTCCCAACAAATTGATACATAAAAAATAGAAGAAAAAAAGTGCATCAGTCCAAATTTCTACTCAGCAACCCAAATTTCAAATCTGCAAACCAAATTTCAATTATAAACTTACCCTCCCACATATGTAAAACCTCCTCCCTGGATGTGCAGTAGTCCAAGATGTTTGGATTTTCGCAGTCTTACCACAGTAGCAAACGACTGAAGGCACCATCCATGAACTACCCTCTTCACCTTCGGCATTCCACCTCTGTGACCCATGACCTCCATGACCTTTGCCAGGTAAGGACCTCCTCATCTCCTAATATTTTGGGTTTTCTCCTAAACCCTAGATCCCCTTCTGGTTTATGGTACAAAAATGGAGGGAAATTTTTTGGGGGAAAAATAGAGCCAAAACGAAGGAACTAATAGGTGAAGCATGGGTTCAGTTCAGTGGAGACGCGAAATGACCAAATTAACCTTCAACTTCACGGCAGAATGGATGGAAAGTGTCAGATTTTTACGTTGGGGGGTACATTGGCGAAAAAAATTAGTTCGGTTCCTTAATTTTCTAAAAAAAAAGGATAGGGGGCTAATTGAAAATTAGGTACAAGTTTAGGGGGCAAATCACTAGTATACCCTTGAAGACAAACGGTTAAAAAAAAAAAGTAATCACTAGCTAGCTAGTAACCTAAAAAAAAAAACCATGGCCTAAAATAATTACGTAGCAAAAACGGTAACTGAAGAGAAGAATAAAAGTGATGGGTTTTGTGAAAGTCCAACTAAAGTACCGAAGAGTTTTAGATGGAAAAAGAAATGTCTTTATGTTTTCAAGGATGTAATTAAAGAGGAGAGAGAGATGGAAAAGATAATCATGTGGTTGACTTATATATATATTATTGAGGGACACCTTTTAAGATACCCTACGATTTTTTTTTTTCAACAATCCAAAATGTCTATTTTTCAAGTCTTCATTCATAGATCATCCTTTCAGTTTATAAGGTTTTGGAATTTTTCTTTGTAATCTAGACGTGCCACCTATTAGGAAATGCGATTATGGATATACAAAATGACTAAAAATAAAATAAATATTCTCAAAGGGGAGCTCTTGATAGATTCATTGTTAAAGAATCACATGCATCAATTGATGAAGATTATGGCATTAATTTATGGTTAATTATTATTTTTAATATTTTCATGCTAGATTATGTGAGGGCCTCAATTTATGTTTCGTAAAGAGCTCTCAAAATCTCAAGACCGGCTATGATAGGCAAATACACTAATTTCTAGTAAACACTAAAACTATTATGGTCATATCATTTTAGGCTTTTTTTTGTATCTATATATGAAGGCTGAGATATCAAACGGTGAAACATTAAAAAATCCAAAAAAATGCACTTAATAAAATAAGGTATTAAGAGACAACAAATTAATATAATGAGGTAAAATAGTAACAAAATTATCATCTAAATAAAATAATTAAAAACACAAAACCCACATTTTGAATGTGGCAGCTATCCCACTCCTCCACCCTTTAAAAAAAATTGTTTTCATAATTAAATTCCAGAAATGCACAGGCAATTTTTCCTGATAAACTCACAAGCCTTATTGTTGATTCTGACAATGATCATGCACTGGCAATCTCAGCACCCCCTTTTGCCTAATAGATTCTAAGTTTATAATTAACAAGGGCCCACTAGTTGCTTAATTTTGAACCAATCAAATGGATTTAATCTTTCTCTGTGGGCCCAATCAAAACCCTACTAGCTAGTCTAATTTCCACGAGTGTATATATAGAACAGGACAGCTGTTTATGTAGTTTTGCTCTTTTTGGCCCTAGCATGAGCCACATAGACCTAAAACACATCCACAGGGTTCACCGTTATGTGGAAACATAACACGAGCCGCATAAAAAGCCATATTAAGCCAAAGTAAAGCCGAGTGGACTTGAAAGCCGTCTGGTAAAAACCCTGATTAGAACTAGTCAAAAACTTCCAAACGGTTTGATGATTAATCCTATAAATCACCCTTTCAAGCCTGATTATATTAACTCTAATCCACCTTAATTAGTGTTAAGCTTTCCGGCATGAGATACTAAACTAACTCATTCGTAAGGATCACTAGGATGTTAAAGTTGATCAACATTCAAACCGAAATTACTTTGCAATGAGTGAAGAAGGTCTAAAATACGATCGACTATCTCCAGTGTTTTAGAGGAAAGTATACTCTCACAATGACTGTCTAGGTACTCAATGTGGTGCTCAATTTGGTCATCCATACTCATAATGTCACTCAATATGATTCACTTAAATGTTTGTCGTAATTCGACTACATGTGGGAAGGCATATAGATATAGTTGAGATATATTAAAAAATTTAGATATTATACAAGCCTTTGAACCAAATCCCTAATAATCCATACTCATAATGTCACTCAATATGATTCACTTAAATGTTTGTCGTAATTCGACTACATGTGGGAAGGCATATAGATATAATTGAGATATATTAAAAAATTAGATATTATACAAGCCTTTGAACCAAATCCCTAATATAACTTGCATTTCACATGTTAATTGATCAAATTATAGCGGAAAACTCACATGTGTTATGATGGTATTAAAGCAGGTAATTTTACATGTTTGTCTTAATTCAACACATGCACATGCATGTTATATAGAAGGTTGCTTTGAAAGATATTTGAAAGAAGAAAGAAAAAAAAAAGAAAAATCTGACATTAGATATCACCCAAGCCCACATGATATCCTTCGTACAAAAATCTCATATGTGTACCGAAAAAACTGAGTTGTTTAAAGACAATCGTTTGTTATTATTCTCCATAGAGTTCCAAAGTACCACAAGAGAAAAGGGACAGTGAGAAGTGGAAGTACTGAGAGATGCATGCCATAATAGCATTCCTGGTCTGCTCACTGTCCACATTCCTGGTCCTTGTTCCCTCAACTCCTACTATTTTTGGAAATCACAACATGACAAAAGAACTTGCCCACTTTGTTTAATTATTTTCTCCATCTTTTTGCATTTTCTTTTCTCCAAAATGAAAATTTTTTGTAGGTTCCGAGTACACCACATTGATGTACCATCCATATACATAAGAGATGTATAAATATTTTATTTCTATTTCAAAAAAGCATTGCAGTAAGTTGGAGAGTCCAAACCACACGTCCTATGTATATTAGATGAAACACTAGCTGGCTGGTGTACCCGAAACATGCAAAAATTTATCCTCCAGAAGAAATGTTTATATATCGAACTCCTCAAATTACAATTCAACTTCATTTTCAGCTATTCGTTTTCTGATTGCTTCATACATAAGGTTAAACAAGCAATTAATTAACAACTAAAAGTTGGTTTTAAATTATAATATAGTATTCAAGTCTAGAAAAAAGTATATGATTCAATTGGCCAATGTATTCAGTGATTGCTTAATTCACACATTACGTAACTTCACGATCTGAAGTGCACAAAAAAGAAGATAGTTTTTTTCTGGATATGGAAGCTCTCCAAAATATATCCTTTAATTACTTATGGCAGAACAAGGACGTGAAGAAAGCTCTCATAATAGGGTGCACGGAAGAAAATATATATGATTGGTGAGCAATATGTAACCAGCCCCTTGACAAAAATAAGCAATAATTTTGTAAGG